GCAGGGAAGGAGGCAAGCTGTCTGGTATATCTTCTTAGAAGGGCTCTGCTTCCGTTGTGAGGGCTGCACCCTCGTGACCTAGTTTCCCCCAGAGGCTCCATGTCCAACACCATCACATGAGGGCTTAGGGCTTCACCGTGTGAACTGTAGGGAGAGGGAACACAATTCAGTCCACGGCACCAGGCATACTCCCCCTTGTAGGGATGAAGCAGGAAGGCCATCAAAGGAGACGAGGACCGGAGGGGACAGAGCAAGTAGGCTGAAGGCAGGGAGGGGTGGCCCCAGGATGAAGCACTAGAAATGGGCAGCTGAGCCTTTTATCAGGAGCCTACACCTACATAGAAGGGAGTTGCGCCCCACTCCAATTTTCTAACTAAAGTAAGTGGCAGGGTCACCTGTTAGGAGTTAGAGGGACAGAGGTTGGATGGACAATTGAAGGAAATTGTCAGGTATTTGGAAAAACAGTCAGGAGGAGAGAAAAAAATGACCAAAGTAATGTAGAGGCTCAGAGACGGGTGCTGAGAACCCAATCAGAATGTCGCAGATTAACAAGGAGGCAAGAGTGAGCGGCCCTCAGGAAGTGAGAGACCAGGGAGAGTAGGTCCAGTCCTGAGCGAGAGGACAGTAAGATCTGTGCAACATGGATGAGACTCACGGGGAATGCCACCAACACCTTTCAGTTCCCAGGACTGGAGACCTGAACTTTCACGTAAGATGACAAATGTCTACAGAAAGAAGGTCCTGTTCAAAAGGACAGTGGGCAGCCACAGAAGTGCAAAGAGCATATGGGGCCAACAGTGGCCATGGTGGGTCACAGAACTGCACAGGCAGAGTGGCTGCCCCAGGTCAACCCCCACCAAATAAAGTGGGACCCAGGCTGTCAGAGGTACCGCTAAGCCATCCTACCCTCCAACCAACCTCCCTGTTCCCACTTCACCCTCAACAAGCTGCTTCCTAATTGTGACTTGGCTTTCCAGGCTGCGGGATTTCGGAGGGTGAAAGTGTCTGCCCACACCCAACACATGCGTATATTAGGGAGCTCTTTGAGCAAAGCCTGTATCTGATTTATCTCTGTGTCCCCAGCACACAGCACAGAGCATGAGTTGGGGTCCAAAGAGGTATTTGAAAAGCAGATCTGGAGAGGGCCAATATAGCCTTAAATAGACTTTGTAAATTAATAAATTCTTATGAAGGGTGTTGCTTATGAACCTCATTCATGTGAATCAGTACCTACAAATCACATCAGTTCTGAAATACTGGCAAGCTCATGTTTCTTAGCTTGCAAATTCAGAGCCGGATCCTGGATGGTGGTGAATTCACCAAGGTCACATACCTTCCAGGCCAGCAAACTACCATCAGCACCATCTTTGCAAGGCCACCACCCCTAGCACCATCCCTCCTCACCCAATCACCATCGAGGCCTGGAGGATCTTTTCCCATTGAGACTTTCCATTTGAAATGTCCGCATGTAATGTTTGTGTTTCCCCTCCCCACCCCACCCCCACAACAATCGCCCCTACAGCTGTTAGCTGTTCTAGCAAAGAACAGAGAAGGAGTGTGGTAGGATTGCTCCAGGTTTGGTGCTACAGAAAGACAAGAGTCAAGTATCTTTCTGGCTTACCACACCCAGCTCCTCCCCAACCCATCCCTCAAGACTTTGCTGTCGTGTATGTATTTTGGTCTCAGCGATTGGATCACAGAAGGAGGACATTTGACTCAGATTGAGCCAATTCGTTTCTCTTTCCTAAAAATTTGCAATTAGGGGAGGAAGACCCTTCTGCGTCTCTGCTTATGGCTGTAATTGAAAGAAGTAAATCTGGAGGTTACAGGGAGTTCCACTTATGTGGAGATGCAGAGTGAACTAGTCTTTTCCATGGCACTCTGAGCATGTTGCAGAAAAACGTGTTACAGCTTAGTGTCACAGCTCGGTGTCACAGCCCAGTTGTGAAAGCAACCTAGATCTGGGCAAGAGACCAAGCAGCACTTGGAGAGTTGGGGAACTCAAGTTTATTATGCCAGCAGGCCCAGAAGAGTTAACACTCTAAGCTCTAGACCCCGTCTGTAGGTTTACACAGGCTTTTATAGGCTGCCAGTTTACACTTTGTAACATCATATGTAAATAAGGTATAACAAAAGTTGACTAATTAGGAACAAGCTTTGTAGAAATGGTCCAATCAGGAGGGAGAGAAATAACCAATCAGGAGTGAGGGAAATGGACCAATCAGGAGTGAAAGAAATAACCAATCAGGAGTGAGCTCCATGAAAATGAAGTATTACAAATGGACCAATCAGAAGTTAGGGAAATGGACCAATCAGGAGTGAAGAAAATAATCAGGCGTGAGCTCAAGGAACCAATAGAATTTTAGGGGTAAGTTCTACTTTCCTAAAAGTAAACAGTTTCAGACACAAAAAGTGAGATAGAGTCCCTGGGCCAGGGAACCAGATGGTGCTGGGAGGAGAGTAGTGGCCCTGCCTGGGGTCCTGCCAGTCTTTTTATGGGGCTTCCCACCTCAAGCTTACAACAGTGTATGGAGAAAAATCCAATCTTTCCCTCCAGCATGTCTCCTTTCCTACCCTCACAGAACACTTCTGATCACCAAATGTGTGACCACCAAGCAATCCTCTGTGACACCAGCTGGGTGTCCTGCAATTTAACTCACTACTGACATGATCTACCTGAGAAGAGTGTCAGATCGCACAGATAGAAGGATTCAGTCCCACCAGACTGCTCCCCATTTCAGATGCCAATCCCAAATAGTAGGTCCCCAGGTTACCCACAACTTCTAACCAACTTGGTTATAAATCAGAGTTTTCCACATGCCCTTACTCAGGTTTGATTAATTTGCTAGAATGGCTCACAAAACTCAGGGAAACACTTCCTTACATTTACCAGTTTATGATAAAGGATACAGATGAAAAGGCAGGTGAAGATATATAGGGCGAGGTCTGGGAGGGTCCAACCTGAAAGCTCTAGAGCCTCATGCTATTGGGATTTTATGAAGGTTTCCTTATGTAGGCACTGTCAATTATTAACTGCATTTCCAACCCTTCTACCTTTACTAGAGAAGGCGGGGAGGGGAGGCAAGGCTGAAAATTCCAAGCTTCCAATCATAGCTTGGCCTTTCTGGTGACCAGCCCCCATCCAGGAACCCACCCAGAGTAACCTCATCAGAATGAAAGTTGCTCTTATCACTTAGGAAATTACAAGGGTTTTAGACTCTCTGTGCCAAGAACTGGATACAGAGACCAATATATACATTCTGTTATCTCACACAGGTCATAACATCTCCCACAATGTATTTAAAGTACCTGGGTGTGTAACTTTATCTTTCCCAGCTAAACAGGCATGCCCTAAGATTACGAGTTCTTCAAGAGCAGTAACCTTCACTGTTTCATCTTTGCATCCATGCAATTACACCCAAAATCTGACACAAAGTATGGAGCAATAAAT